TGTGTACAATTACAGAGGAAGTGAACCTTATTAAAGGTCAGAGGACACAGAGAGATTCTTTGGAGTGTACTGAGTGCTCTACAGGGGCACTGAAAAAAGCAAGGTATAGTTTATGGAGGAGGGAGAGAGCAAAGTAGGCTGTTTCCACTCCTGTCAACATTCTGCACATTTAAGTTTTACTGTCAGTGTCTGCGGTGCATCAGAGTTCATTTGTGTGAGAGAGAGACAGCAGGAAACGGAGTGAAAAGAGGGGGTAAAGGCCACATTAGCTCAAAATTCTTCAGATGACACTGACACTAGCTTTTCCAGATGAACTCTCCTCCAAAAGCAATAACAACCAATCATTTTGTTTTTCTGTGGTCTTTGAATCTCACATAATGGTGACACCGTGTTTTTTATCTGGAGTTACTTGGGCTTCACCTCAAATTAATCTCCTACTGGTAATTTCTGCACAAACAAAAGTGGTAATCACATCTTTGTCATAACATCCAAATTCTGTTTACGTGCTCCCGATGATGGATGGACTACTCCCAAAGCTTTCACAGACAAATATGATGTCTCATATTCTTGGGGTCAGTGACAGTTGATGGTCATGAGTGATGGCTGCTTACCTCACAGTAATGCTGATTAGAGAGTTGAAGTTGAGCATGCTTTTGTGGAGATGCCTGGGTTGCAAATGACTGTTTTCCAGATGAGTATCTTGTGGGATTGTGGCTTTCTAATAATTGGGCTCAGGCAGGTCTAGGCACCGATCTAGTGTCAGCAAACAAAAGGAAAAAAGAAAAACAAGCTGGCCATCCACAAGCTGTCATTACTGCTGGAAGATGAAAAACAGGTTGAACAAACCCACAAAGCCCAAAGTGAACTTAGCCGAGCCCTAATGATTAAAAAAGATTGCACTCCTCTTGACTTAGGCGAAGCAAGCACAGACTAAACAGGAGCCAGCACACAATGTGAAATGCCAAACTGCTGAATGGCCTGAAGGCAGGTACATTTTTGTGCCCCATTAACTATGAAGTTCCACTCAAAATGACTAGGGCAGAACATCAGTGGCTTTTGCTTCTCGCTCTCTGCCCTGAGAATGGGATGCAAACATTCACACATGTGGCGCACGGTGCAGTCAGGCGCATACGCATATACGAGTAGACACATGTTGGCCGACATACATGCATGCACACATACACATACAAAGGCACAATAACCTGTGAGTGTGACAAACACGGACAGACTGTAATTGTTAGAAGGAATCAAGCAAACAAATGATGTCATTATCTCAAAGCACACTAGCTTGAATATTATTACCATATCAGTGGGAGGCATTTAGCATTCTTGTCTTTCATAGCTATGGGCTCACAAGTCAGAAGGAAAAATAGATGGCATTGTTCTGAATTATCCTCATACATCTGACATTTTCAATTTCAAACATGCAAAGTCACAGTGAGAAAGTTATTTTGGGTATTTCTGACATCCACTGAAACAGCTTCAGGAATACCTCGCCGTGTTTCTACAGAAGGCAATCCCTGAGGGCACTCCCCTGTGCTGCTAACATTTTTTTTTTTAAGCATTAGTGTACAGGAGGCATAGAAATGATCATGCAGAAACATGATGAGAGCAGGAGGAAGGCTGTAATATGGGGTCCCCATGGTAACCACACAAAACGGCATGCACTCACCATGGCAACAGAGCTGGTGAGGGGAATATAGCAGAGACAGCGTTGGAGCTGGTGCTGGCCTCTGGCAGTTTGAAGTGATACATGCATGTCAGTGGCACAGCATCAGCAAGTAATTCACTCATATTAAAACATAAACCTAACCTGAAATAACATAAACATACCATACAATGCCATAACATAACACAACATAACATAACATATCATAACATATCCATAAACATAACAGAACATAACATATTACTTCTGTGGATAATTACTAGCACCGATATGAAAAGTGTAAGCTTCGTTAACCAATATGTTCATATTAACAATGGATGAAGTGACTGTGTAATGTGAAAGAGGTCATTAATTAAGACAAACCCACAGAGAATTAACTCCAAACTCAGCAGTTCCCCCAAACTATGTGGAGTATTATAGTGTCTTTCAGCTGTTTGTTTTGGTTATACTTTACCGTTTGCAGCAAAAAAAAAAAAACACCGACTGTAGACTACCTGCTAAAATTAGCAACTGGCAGATAGTGGAGCATTTAGCAGCTAAAAAGACAGATATTTTTCTCAGGAGTTGGAGGAACAGAGTTAAAATGAGAGTGAATACTGGACTTGCATTTGCCTGGGTGCCAGACACATGATTCCAAGTGAATGATAACGAGTTCACCATAACTGTAGGCTATATTTGAATATGTCAGTGTTGTGTTGCAATTAATGCTGCTTTAAAATTAACATCAAAATCTTTCTGGCAGAGAGTTAAATGAGAAGGTCGATACCACTCTCATGTCTGTCTGTTGGCAGCCGATAAGCTTAGCTTAGCATAAAGACTTTAAACAGGGGAAACAGCTAGCCTGACTGCGTTAGAAAGCATCAAAATCTGCATGCACCTCTAAAGCTCACAAATTAGTATGTTATATCTTATGTGTTTAACTTTAAAAAGTGTGAACAGTTGTCTTTTTTTTTTTGTTTCCCAAAATGTTAAACCATTCCTTTAAGCATTACCTTGGCATTCTTATCCATCCCAACACTTACTGTAATTTTAACCTTGGCCCAGAAGCTAATTAGCCCTAAATATAAAAGATGAATCTTTTTTCAAAAAGTATAGACATGCAGGAGCAGAAACACACACAAGCATCACTCAGTTCCTACAGTAGAGGTCTATCATGATATACAGTACAGTAGGTCTTGGTTAATAGAGCCACAGAAGGCTTACCTGAAATGACAAATAGCCAGAGACAACTGCTGATGCTTCAAGGCCACAGTCGGCTGTACTGTAAACGATAATGGTTTTTCTCCGCCAGACAAGGAGAAACCCCCAGACTATACATCATCATTCTGTTACTGTTGCTGATGCTCCTGGTTTAACACAGGGATACGCAACTTTCACACAGCGGTTTAAATATAAAGACATGCTTGCTCACACAAAGTCAAAACCAGTTTCATCACCTATGGACATCCATCATGACACATCATTTGCAGTTTACCCTTTTTTTTTTTAAATAAAAACATTCCTTCCAAAGCTCAAGAAATCAAAATCACTACCCACAAAACGAGACTTGATTAATGTTGCACATTAAGTGGGCATTTCACAAAAGAATCTGCCTAATGAGGTTGGTTGTCAGTGAAGTTTTTTTCCTTTAATCAGTGTCTTTAATTAAACACTGAAACACAAAGAGACACACAGATATTAATCACTCTGGTTTAAGCTGCTTTTCAATTCAGCAGCCATTAAAAGTTGCACCGCTTGACTGGGTACGACGTCAGCTGAGGGTGGATGGAACTGTGTCACTGTGAACTCAGGAGACCCTTTTAGTTTAAACAAAAAAACATGTTTCATGTTGGGTGTCTGTGGGAGTTTCAAGTGCAACATATGCCAGATGAAAAATATAGGCTCCTCAAAGTATAATTTGGTCCTTCGTATTTCATGGAATAGTTGGCAAACCATATGCTTTTGGAATTCTTTGACTTGAAGATGTGCATAATTTCTCTACATTCATATTCAGCCACCTTGGAGCGAGACTGTCTGCTGGAGCTGTCTGCTCAGTGGAATAATCGGAGACGGTGGGTGTGGCAGACGGCTAACTGGCAATAACAACAGACCTGACTCAATGTCTCCATCTAGTGACGAAAGGTAACTTAACAATAACAGGTGGGTTCTTTCACAATAGCAGAGCAATCGTGGTCACGTCGTTTTAAAAAGTATTTCTCAAATCTGCTAGAGCACATTAAAATCTTGATGTTTAAATCTTTTAAATCTAATTTTAGTTAAACAGAGATCTATAGGCATGTACACTTTTATTATTAATATGACCCTTTAACTGCCAACTGTCAACAATATTATTATTTTTAATAATAATACATTATGCAAAATGTTATGGTGATATGAAACCTCCATACATATAGAGACCCCACTTTTATTGCTTTAGTTATTGCTGTACAGTTACAGTAAGTCTGTATTGTAATAATGCACAAATGAATATTTCTACAGTGGGCATCTCTGCTGTTTAAAAACCTAAAATACAGCTACAAAATCTGCCCTTGGACAGACAGCGAGAAAAGGCAGACTGCAGACTAAAGCACTGGTAATACACTGGTTTCTGCCCAACGGGTAGTCTTCTTGGAGACAACACACTGCTCAGAAGGAAATGAAAGAATACATCCTTAAAATAGTGGCAGCTGGTTTAAGGATAGTTGCTGGGAGATATTGCATCTCCTAGAAACAGTTTCCAAACTTCTCTGGCTTGTTGTTTAATTTGAACACTTGTCATAAAAAGGCAAAGCTTTCCAGCTTTTCAGCAGAAAAAAAAAATCAATAAAATAAAAATCTGTGCCCCAGGAACAACTACAATTGACATGGGATTTTAAGAAACCATTACTTTCATTTTACTGTTTAAAGCCAGTCTAAATTATGACTTTTAATTTTTTTTCTTATTGCTCATATGTATGGTGATTAACATTTTTTTCTTGATACAAATTAACCCATGTCTTATCTTGTCACAAGAGTGCCATCATGTGTTTAAAAGTAGTACCACAACAGAGCAGTGACTCCCTGTAAACTTGTAATGATGCCAGGATATATTTATACTGCACAGTGACAGCATGATAAATTATTGCATTGCAGCAATCAGAATACATTGCTCAAATTGTACATTTGTGTGTTTTAAATGTTCACATCACAGCATCATCTCTGTGAATTATTATATCTGGCATTTGGTTGCATAGGTATTCAGGGATGGTGGTGAAAGGTCAATAATTTGGAATCATGACATAATAAGGATTAGTAATAGAGAACACTGTGGACTGTAAATAGATGCTTGTCATAATGAATGCCTCCTCCTATGTGATGCAAATAATTTAGTCAGCAAGTTGATTTATTCCACAGACCAAATGATTCATTACAGTTCATCAGAGAGTCGTCCATGCAACAACTCCCTCATCACACCCATATTCTATTATATCACTCTGAAAAATACATACACACAAATGATCATCTCAGTGGTCAAATATTATCAATATTATTATTATGCACAAAATATAAAACTAGCATCTGTCTTTGACATCAATACATAGTGGCTGCAATATTACTTCTCTTGGACAATAGTTTTGCACATTTATACACACACAAAGTAGGTACTATGCAGTGCATAGTCTCCATACATTTCTCATCATGATATTGCATAATAAATATCATCAGTCTTTTAAGACTTGCAATGATTCAGTGTGCTGGCAGAGCAAAGACCCAAACTCAGTTAAGACAGAATAAATTAAATGTTGAGAAGTGTCACCATATGCATTTGAGAGCATGAAATGTGAGAAATGCCCTACTTGAAGGGCTACTGTGCATGTGTGTATGTGTACTCATGTCTGTAAATGTGATTATGTCATTACCAGACCCTGAGATATCCAATCTAGCCCATTTCCTGCCAAACACCTCCATCTGTCACCAACAATGTAGAGTTTCCAATGGGCCAAACCAATCAGCTCGGAAGAATTTTGGCTCCTACAGTAGCTGTCAATCAGGCTAACCGCTTTGTTAAAACATCTCAAGCCGGAAAGGGTTGAGCCCTGCTACTTCCATCAAACACTGCCAACATAAATAGAGAGCAACTGTGTAATAAAATCATGATATCCCAGGTTATTTTGTTCGGGGATTCTTTAATCATAAATTTTGAAGTTGACATCGTGACCTTTGCACCTCCTCGTGGAGTTAAATATAATCGTCTAGCAGGTGCTGCGTGCCTGTTTTCACTCCTATTGTTTCAGACTTTTCCAATATAAGATTGAAACCTGATTGATGACATAACGTTATCTGACCCATTGTGTGAAAAACCTTGTTCACCTTTAGCTTTATCCGTTTTTTCCATCTTTTACTTAAATCTAACCAGAATCTAAGATGCTGGTTTCACAGTAGCCATTTTGGAAGTAGAGTGGCAGTACATAACAGCGGGTTATATAAAACTCTATTTCACAAAGCTATACGTTGGTATCCATGTGGAGGGTGTGTGGGATCTCAGCCGATTTGTGTTCTTCAGCATCCGTTCTGTTTTTAAGAAGTAACCCACTTTATATCTCCTCTACTGGATTGAAGACTTGGGTTTTTTTTTGTTTTTTTTTAAGATGTACTGTGTGGAAAGCTCTGACCTGTTTGTTTTCTGTGTATTTTTCAAGGGATCCCCCTTGGACTCAGAGGTCTAACTCGTCTGCCTTGAGCAATGACGCCTGTTTCACACGACAACGGCCATCAGAAAGCTATGACGCAAATGTCTCCTACTTTGTGCTTCACACTTCTTCATTAATCAGCCTGCTATCAGGTTCAGTTCAGATAGGGTCAGCCCCAACACTGCTTCAGGGAGCAGTGACACAGCCTTCAGATCATCTGTACAAATATCGTTTGTCTCCATCGTTCACGGTTTCGTTCTGTCCGACATTTCCTCTCCGTTTCGCTTTTGGCTCCTCTGCTTTGGTTGCTCTGCTCTTCCTGTTTTCTCTCTCTGTCCTCATTCACCTCTGTTTTTTTTAACTGAGCTCTTTCTCTCTCTCTCAGTGTTGCAAGAGGAAATTGGTTGCCATGTTGATATCATTGTTTGAAGCTCTGAGAGCTTCGAGTGCATCAATCCTGGAAAAGCCCATTTCCACCAACCGTGCAACCTGTGGGACAGAAAAAGACATCAGTTGAGAGACAGCAGCTAACACAGCAGCGGCTGAGAAATCTTCACCTGGGAATGTTTCATAAGGCTGCCCTTCACAAAGTAAGGCGTGGGTGGGCCGGAAATCAAGATTTGCTTAAAGCGTTAGCAGTCTGTCTGTTTATAAAGATTCTGAGTCATGCTGGTCATAAAATATGTAAAAGAATATTAAGATATGCCATAAAGTAAACGGAAACTACCAGTGAAAACACATGTATACATACACAGAAACACACGGATGAATACGCACCTGCTCCTCTGCGACAGGAGAGTTGTCTAATAGAGGAGGCTGTGTGGATGGGGGTGTCTGAGCTTGGGGGTGGGGCTGCATCGGGGGTCTGTTCTGTCCTCTGTGTCTCAGGGAGGGGAACAACCTGGTCCACTGTAACAACCCAGACTATACACACAAGGAGGCAGAATCAAGCACTTTTAGTACATATATACAGTTAGTTCAATTGCAGTTACTGGCATCTGATGCTTGAGGTGAATTATAAAGGTCCATTGTGGTAGGAGGATTATTGGCAGAAATGGAACTATAATGTTTCATATTATTCCATTTCTCATTTTCATTAGTGTATAATCGCCTGAATATAGGAATCAGTGTGTTTTCGTTACCTTAGAATGAGAGCTATTTATCTAAAGAAGCAGTGAGTATGCCATGTTGAACTGCCATGTTTCTACAGTAGCCCAGGACGGACAAACCCAACACTGGCGAGCTTCATGGCAACTGTAGTTTCTCCTACACACTACACTACACAACCCGTTCTCATTCTCAAGTTGTCAAATGCAGACGTGAGCGGTGTTCAGTTAGTTGCAATCTGAATCTCAAATCACTAAATCCTACACACTGGTCCTTTTTTAATTTACAAATTTCAAGACATTGTGTGTGTGTTTGTGGGGGGTCAATCTGTGCATAACTGTGACAATAAGTCTGTGTGTGTGTGTGTGCGTCCTTTTACCTGTGACTGGGGTCTGGTGTTCCTCCTGGCCTCGTTGTACTGGGCCAGCAGCAGCTGTTGGTCGAGCATGTCCATCCTTTGTTGCCTCTGGATGTCCAGAGTGGCACCCATCCCCACGGGAGTCTCGCTGCTTGGTTGGGAGCCTTGATGACCAAAGATGTTAATAGCAGACAAAACACATGTAAAACAGCGTAAAATATTTGAACATCAATAGCATAAGAGCAAGGTGACAAAGAAAATTCTGTTTAAAGAAAAGGAGGCATCTGTTGCTTGGGAATAGCATCAATATTTTAGATGTCCTGCACTTCACAATGACCCTATCTTCTGGACATTAACGTCAGTCAGAAACTACTTATATTAATGTATTCTGTATGCTTTTATACTACTATTTAATCATTGCTCCAATCCTCTCTTTCATTTCCATTAAAGCCCATCTGTGAAAGCTGATTTTTCTTTTTTTTTTGCAAGTGTCAAGTAAAATCCTGCTTTCCTCGTTTGTTTATACGGGTAGGTGGAGTTCACGTTTCTCCTTCCATGCACTCTATGTGTGATTACTCACACAGTTATCTGACTGCGTACCAATATACCTCCGTTCTGTTCGCTTTTAGCTGGCACCTCCTCAAACTCTAACATTCATTAAGTGTTCTTGACCAGGCCCCTTTGTTAGCCAAACAACCGTATGCTCGCTGACATTTATTCAAATCCCCGCCATCGAGAAAAAATACTAAATGTCAAAGAGAGGCCTGTCCACGCCCAGCCTCCCTGCCGCATGCTTAGCTCTCCAATTAGAATTAGCACCCACCCCACAGGAGGAATTCTTCCATCCAGCAACAATATTGGTTTGCACCCTCGCCTCAACAAGCCAAGAGACTTAGAAAAACTTGAACCATATTTTCAGATCTGGCCTGACATTAATGAACTGCGGAGGCTTGAAGAGCGAAGATGTTGGAGAAATAGGAAGGAAAAAGAGGCAAACAGAGATGTTTTTTTATGCTTTGAGTTAGTTGAAGATGCTGTTTAGGTTTTCTATTATATGGCTTCTAATGGTCACTGCAAAGGGACTAAAAAACAATAAAGCAATTTTTTTTCTTCAAAAAACAACCCATGGGGCACATAATACCATAAGGCTGGGATCAGTTAATGTTGCTGACAATCCTTGAATTTTGGTTGTGAGGAAAATAAACAAATTAGAACACACTGGTTCCAGAGTCTGTGAAGATTGATATTCGAATTTAGAAAAGCTAAAGGCTACGTGTGTCCATTGAAATTGAGATAATAGTGGAGTTTGGTAAAAAAGTCAGGTAAACAGAAGGAGGTGTGAAGTGTTACAGAGAAACTGCCTGAGAAGACGAAGGAACACTCTGACTGAATTGAACATAATGGGAGTAATAGAAAACAATAGAGGAACGTTGATGGCAGGAGAAAGTCTATCGTATACTCTGTGTGTGTGTGTGTTGTGTGTGTGGTGTGTGTGTGTGTTGTGGTTGTTGTGTGTGTTGTGTGTGTTGTGTGTGTGGTGTGTGTGTCTTGCATTGGTTTAGAGGAAGATAAAGGGAAAATAAAAATGAAAATGGGTGGAGAGAAAAAGTGAAGCTATCGAAAGATAGAAAACTGTTTCTCAGTCTTACTTTTTGAATGCTGCTTTCCACCTGCTGTTGAGGCAGACTGCTAAATGATTATGCGTTCTTCATTTGAAGCCGCATTGAATTTTCACCAGGCTGCCAAACATGAGCATGTTTCTCCAGCTGTCTCGAGAATCGCTCATCCAACTACTTCACACTCGACACTGGCCACTTCCCTTAGTTTCTCAGCAATATACCAGCAAGTTGAAGTCGATTGAATGAATGGTTGTCGAGAACACTTGAAAGACAGACAGACAGACAGAAAGACTCTTCTATATTATTGAAATAAGAAGAATATATGAGATTTGTAACTAAATTCTTTAAAAAAGTTCTACCAATGATTTAGTGCACCATCTAGTCCTCCTGAGGTTCATATTTCAATATGGATTGAGTTTAAGAAAGCACTTCACAATGTATTACTC